TTTATAAACTTTTATATTTGGAAAACTTTTAAAGTTAAAAAAAATTAATAGTTTTAAAAATTTTCATATTCATCAAAACTGGTTTTATACTCAAATCGATTAAATTTAATATCAACACAATAACATTATTTTCTTTAGCATAAAGTTTTGAAAATTAAAAAAAAATTGTAAATGGTTTCAATAATAGTGAATTCAAAAACAATTGAGTTTAAAAATTTGTAAATTTGTAATTTTTTTTAATATTGGAAACTAAACTAAAAAAATAAATCTTCAAAAATTTTCAAATACGGGTATTCATCAAAATAAATGTTGTTTTTTTTTGCGCCCAGATTTAGATATACATATATAGATTTATGAAACTTTGCATTCGGAAATAATTTTTGAATTCTGAAAATGGACTTCCAGGGAAAAAGGTTAGAAGCTAACCACCGAGGGGTGATTGGTTGATTAATGCCATTGCCATAGATTTACAGACAGACAGACAGACATAAAAACTGCTTGCATTTTCACTCATATGTACACAAATGCTTTTTGGTTATTTACATATCTATGTATGTGTGAGTCTTAGGGCGTATGTTTGCATGTATGTATGTATGTCTGGCCATAATAATGCATTAACTGCATGCTATGGGGTTATTAGCCTCCCTTCTCTCTAGAGTCATTCTTACATACGTATATGTAAGCTAGTGTACATACATCTGTACATACACACGAGTATATGCATATTTGCCTCTTTGAAAAATGTATGGTTACATATATATATATGTACATACATACATACATGTATGTTACATATGCATGCATTTTCTAGTGTTCTCATATGTACATATGTATGTACGTATGCATTGGCTTAACTGCACTATCGTATGCTAGCAATGGAAGTACATATGTACATATGTATGTATGCATGAGTGTAAATGTCTTCGCATCGTCTTCGTATGAACGGCATTAAATGCAATGACTTCGTTGACTTCTTCCGGCGCAAATTTGACACTGAGTAGGCAAATATCTTTGTAAACACACACACACATACATTAATATGTATGTATGTAACTAACATACATATATATATATATGTATATATGTATGTTTGGTTGTACATGCGTTACAAGTCAGCGTAAGTGTTGTTGTTTTTTGTTGTTGTAATTGTGCAGTTGACTTTTCTCCAGTCTCAATTCCAACATTTCTTCCATAGAATCGCATACAAAAACATAACTACACACACACACACTTACACACTACATTGCCAAATGCTGCCCGGTCAGCCAACCAGTCAGGCCTGCGAACTAGTACCCCCAGTGTGAGTCGGCGAATGAGGCGGTTGGAGGGAAGCAGGGGCGCGCCGGTTTGCTTTCTGCTGTTCACCAAAAAGCGGCATATTACGTATAAATTTCGAATCAGTATACATATGTATATACATATATACATATATTTGTATGTAGGTAGAGGCGAGCAACAGTACAGCAACAAGCATTGGCAAAAATAACAGCAACAACAGCAAAAAGTCATCAAAACAGTTGAGAAAAACGCAACAAGCCAACACTGCTGCCGGTGGAGGCAATTGTGAAAAGGAAGAAGAAGAAGAAGAGATAAAGCTGTTGGGGCAAAAAAAAAAGCAAAGCAATTCAACTCAGGAATGCGGGGCCACATAAATGTCAGATAAAATGTTGATTGTTTTGTTTACAAAGATACTTTACGCTTCTGTTTACTGCCTGGCTGCCTGACAGTCAGCGAACGCGATACGACAACAACCATGTGTGTATCCACATATGTACATCTATGTATGTATGTATGTATGTACAATTGTTTGTATGTGAATACACACATGGCAGCCGTTGAGTGCGAGTTAAATAAGAATATTGTCTGATTAAGTCGACCAACACAAGAGGTGTATTAAATAAATGAGCGCGCATACCTACACACATATGTACATACATACACACATACACACACATATGCATATGTGAACATGTGCATACTTAAACACGCCCAACAAAAGCAAAAAACAAGTTAACTATAATGAGAAATAAAAAGAAAAAATGATTTGAGTAAAAATATTTTTTTTACAGAGCCAACCAACCGACACGCACACACATACACATACCGTCAAGTACCAACAGCGCTATGGGTTGCAAAGCCAGTGCATTTTTGTTGTTGGCGATTGGAATGTGGCCGCACAGACAAACACACACACACACACACACTTGTATGGATGTATGTATGTGTGTATGTATGTACCCATTTACACCCGTTTACTCATAGTTGCCAACAAAAATAAGTAGAAATATTTAACAAAAAAGAATGTGAACAAAAATATTACGACTACATATATACATATATACATACATATATACATACGTACATGTGTACATACGCTCATTGTTTAGCGCAAACGACAGTAGCGGCAGCAATAGTCAACGTCACTCAGTGTAGTCGGTTCGTCGTTCAGTCGATTAGTCTGCCGTTGGTTTGGCTGGCTCACTTGGTGTGCACACCTGCGTCTTACGCCCGCAACGCTTTACGACGGCATCTTAATGTTCGTTTCGTCCGTACACATACATTCCAAATATGTAGGTAGCTGTGTGGAAGCATTTGGTTGCTTAGTAAGTGATCGCAATGAATTCATCGACACTCATGCTACTCAGTTTAGTTTGGTCGTTGTTAACACATACAAACCGTTTTAGTATACATATGTATGTATATTTACGAATAAATGGAATGCGTATGTATATATGTACATGCGTGACGTACTCCTAGATACTCATTGATAGACTTACCCTGTAGGACAGACACGTATGTATGTACATAGTGGTTTTTGTTAAGCCAATTCTTGTCCGGTAAAAGGGCGGCCGAGAGAGATAATTAATTTATAATTAAATATTTTTTGTCAATATTTTGCTTCGTGAAAATAGTTTTTTTTTAAACTAGACAGTCCGGTTAATGGAACGAAGTTTTAGCTTATTTTCGGACAGTGTCTCCTGTAACTGAAAATATATGGCAAACAGTACGTGGCCCTTTGTTAAAGTATCTTTAATTTAAATCTTTTTTTTTTTAAATAAATAATAGAGAAGCAGGCGACAAAAAGGAATGCCTAATAAATACAATTTATTGTGATGGCATTTGCAGAATCCTCAGATATCCTACCCAATATATTTCAAAGGTGTCCGACATATACCACATATACATATAATACATTTTTCAGTCATTTAACGCCTGAAAGAATGCAGGCTTACAAAGCAACTCACTAACCCCGCTATTGAGTAAATAAATTAGCGCACTTAATAGTTGTTGGTTAATAATGAATTGAATAATACAACAACAAATTACATGACTGATGTTGACGCAGTGATAGAGCACTCGCCTGTTAAGTCAGGATCCATTGGTTCAATCTCCGCAATAAGAAGTCTTATTAGGAGATGTGGTGATCTCTGAAACAGCTGACACTTATACTGTTTTTCTTTGTTGTATAACAAAAAAAATATTCAATTTATACAAACAAACCAAGCCTTTCGCTCACTAAAAATTTATAACAGAAATTAGTATTATGGCCACCAAAACAATTATTAGTATTTTTCTACAATTTGGTCAGTATAAGGCGCCGGGTAATTAAACAAAAATCATTTTTTAATTTTTGGCAGAGAAAATTAAGCCCTCAGAGGTTATTTATGAGAAGAAGAAGTCTCAGAATAAATTATAGCTGGTTCCAATTGTTGGAGCTCGATCAAAAACCACTTTAGCGTCCGCAATAGCCGAGTGGTTACTGCCATTCTAAAAGCCAGGAGTCATTCCTCGGCAGGGAATCTTAAGCGCTGCATTTGTATTTCTAACGTAAAATAAAAGCTCCTCTTAAAACGTACGTTCCTCCATAGGAGGAAGAGCTCGCTGGAAATGGATGCAGCGATTATAAAGCGGCACATATACATACATACATATATATATATATATACATATATGTACATATATGTAATATGTTTCACATAATTTTCTTAAAGTGACACCTAATTTCAGTACGAATCATAATTTTTTCAATAATTTATGTTTAAATAATCTAAAAAATCACAGATTTTACTTAAAATATGACAAATATTGAATTGACTCTTTGTACTAAATTCCTATCAAACTTTTCTGCACGGTCCCCCAAATACTAATGCATAAATACATACATATGTTCATTTGTTTGTATGTTGGCTTGTACTATAGCCGGTCAGGCCAATAAATTGTATCTCATAGATAGTTTTTCTACATACACACAAACGTGCATACAACACCAGCTATTAAATGCTTACATGACAATATACACTCTCTCTCGCTCTCGCTCTCGCTCTCACTCCTTGTCTCTCTCTCTTTCCCCCCCGCTGGCTGACTTTTTTCCAGACAGCAGCGCCACCAAGTGGCCTCTATGCATAACAACATTGGAATGCAAAAATGAGTAAAATAAATTGATTGTATTTATCGTAATTTAGCAACTGAAATGGACTAATTTAAATATTCTAATCATTCGGCTTTATTTATATTATATATACACATATATAAAAATGAGGTTCAATAGAAATATGTATGTGAGTGAGTGAGGGACCAAGCATGGTGAAAATTCCGTAAATGAAATATAAAATACAATTTGTTTTGAAAGCATATCAAAGAAAACATTTTGCAAATCCCATAGTTGGGGGCTTAAATATATACGTACATATATAAATTATATACCGATGTATGCAACTACATATACGTATAGTTATAAGTACAACTTGGTGTATAATTTGTTTGGCTTTTGAGGAGAATGCTTCGAAAATGATAGTTTATGCTCTCGCTACATTTGTAATTTTGAGCATTTTGAGTAAGTGAATTTCCAATTGAGTGAGTTTTTAGAAAACATGTTGAAAATATTGCCATATTGAAATTTTATTGAAATTAAAAAAAAGGTTTTTAAATTACGTAGACTTGGTTAGGCAGTGAGTTTCAGCAATATGGGATGTACAAATACAGTAAGTTTGTGATAAAACTTGGCTGTGCTTTCCATTATGGTTCCAACGCTTGTTTCAGCCAAAATAATTGACCAATCCTATTGAAATTTTCAGGAGTTGTTGCTGTTGATCTTATCTATGTTTATTTATTAAAATTAACACATAAATATTTATAAATTATATATAATTTGTTGTTAATAAATTTACACTTTCATCACAAATATTTACTTAGCACGTGCACTTATTTAACATACATGATGCAAAATAGTAACTTCAATCTGTTCACATGCGATTACTAAAAATTGTTGTAATTTTATTTCACTTGGTTAGCAGTAAAATATTATTTTATTTTTGTATATTATTTCGATATTGTTTTTCAATAT